TCGATTCGATTGCAATATTCCCACTGCAATCCAAAAGTGGCAAAAACCACTAAGAAAGTGGGCAAATTTAAGACCCGACAAAAAAATCTATTAGTATTTCATCTGTGACTTCAGATGTACCACAGCAACATGACAATAATCCTTAAGTGTGTGACAAGTGTGTCACAGGTGTGTGACAAGTGTGTCACAGGTGTGTGACAAGTGTGTGACAAGTGTGTCACAGTACTAATACTACTAGAAGCTTTATATGGGCCCTCACTCCACTACTTGCCACACGCACAAAAGACAAAAGGTATTGCAGTGTATCTTTCCACTTTCTAGCGCACAATTCATTTTCATTTTGCAAATTTGGTGAGTGGTGGAGCAAGGCACATGCTTAGGTTAGATAATGAGAACTGAATGTAACCACAATTGTTTACCCAAAGAAAAAATAAAAAGAACGAAAGAGAAAAGAAAAGAGTACACTCCAGTGATTCCATAGGGCCTCCGTTAGCGATATAAGAGGAGGAGGGAGGGGGGGGGGGGGGATGGAGATACTACCATGAGTTTTTCTGGTCCATGAATCCGTCCCGTTGCCCGCATAGCCGCTGAAGGGCCCCAGAGCTTCCCTTCCCTCTGTGGTACCCCAGGGCAACCAAGGCGACCCGGCCAGCCTGGCTGGTATCCCAGATTAGTACACCATATACATACAAAATTGAGTTCGCTGGCACTCACATGGAGCAAAAGAAAAACGGTAGAATGGGACACCGTGTAGAGATCCTGGTGGAGGGGGAAGCAACAGCATCCTTACCTCATCCCCGCATCGCATGAGTGCTCGAATCGCGGTTGGAGCAGTGTAGAAGACGGTCACATTGTATCTGCAATTATTTATTTATGAAAATCCAGTGCCCCACAACAGAAGATACAGCAAATCATTCCAAACATGAACAAGTCAAAAGCAAGTTCCTTTTAGTCAAGGAACATCCACACATATAAGACACAACTCAACCGAGTCAACCCCAATGGTGCAACGATGCAGCCATGTCCGATATTATATGCATTAAATTGAAAATTACAACAATCTAATTGAAATTTGAAATTATTTATGTAATTTAATGAATCAAATTCATACTAGCAGACCAACCTTTTTTTTTTTTCTTTTTTTTTTCTTTTTGGGGAAGAACCAATCAAATTCATTATCAATTGGCACGAATGAGTGATTCCACTCAAGAGAATTTCAACTTTTCAATCAAATTCTTTATGTAATTTTATTTTATTTTTTCCCCCAACACAATGCCCCTTCTATTTCCCGCAGTTGGCAAGCTGCTAAAATAAATGGCCCATACTGAGGTCAATATTTTTTTATTTTTTTATTTATTATTTCCCCCTCCCCCCCCAACAACAATGGCCCTTCTATTCTGGCGGCCATCAGTCCAGTTACTTATCACTGGCAAGCATGTTTTTACACCCAAGGAGGGAGAAGAGACGAGAAGAAAGGATCAGCCTTACCCTTGTGGCACTACTAGCCGCCTAAGCAAGGGGGGGCTTCTGTGGGGCGTCCCGCCCCCCAAGCCATGGCCGTTCTTCAGGGACTGTCCTGCTGGTCGGGAAGCTTGCTAGCAGCACCGAGCCACACAGCAGGAGAATCTTCAGAAGGGCGGAACGCAGGGGTTGGGTGGGGGGGGGGGGGGGGGGGGGGGGGGGGGTTGGGGGTGGTGGGGGGGAGGGAGCGTTCAATATATTTTTTATTTGGGCACGTGTTTTTTTATTCGCATATATTTTCTAACGAATGATTCGCAAGAGTAGCTTATTGATTGCAGTAGAAAAAGAAAAACCGCCAGTGCATCGCCCCAGCCAACTTGAGAATAAAAAATGAGTCATTCTGAAAAGTTCGGAGGCTGGGGTCTACCGGACCGAAGTGGCTAGCGGCATCAGCCATAAGACTCGAAAAGAGCAAAAAAAAGTTTGCCACGCCACTTGGCACAGAGTTTGAATACGCCACGGCGAGACAAGGCTCAGATATACTGGCTCTTTAAGCAGGAAGCACATTCAGCGTTGTTCACAAATCCACCAACAAAAAGGCGAGAGGGGAAACAGGACCGGAAATTTCTGAGACAATGCGTAGATGAGAGAATAGTAGAATACCAATCAGGCAAGATGCAGGTGGGATAGCAACGATACTCTTCAGGCAAGATCTCACAAAGATTCTTTGTAGGTAAGATTATTGCTACACTGTTCTTTGTCCCCTGTCCTCTGTCCTTTTTCTTCTCAACCCCTCTGCGGCAAGTTTGCAACCTATTGACTTTCCCAGGTTTCCCCCTATTCACTTTCCCAGCCCCGCCGCCCCTTACTACCTAGTACCCACCCATTATTCAAAATCCACCTTAAATAATAAATTTTCAAGTGGTTTGCCGAATAAATCCAGCAATTTGTTTTCTTATTAAAAAAAAAAAAAAAAAAATCCACTTAAAAAATGCTCCTATTAGGCTATTAGGGATTTTCCAAGGAACCTGACAGCCTGTTGGATGCAGGAAGGTCTTGCCTAACGATTCCAAAACCGCCCACCGCGGCCTGGATGCATTGGACTACAGAGATCGCAGTCATATAAATCCACTAAGAGGTACTGCCAGCATGTCCAAATTCCACTGAGTTCAGATTCACTACCGTCTTCACCTGAATAGAATTTACGGTCACCAAAAGCCACTGCATTTGGGCCAACTTTCAGTCTAGATACCGGTCTAATGACCATATGTTCTGTTCTGTTCGACAGAAGTTGGGAGGGTACGTCAAACAATAACAACCATTGTTACAAACAGTCTGCCCACCGACTTACTTATTAAACTCGCTGAATTAATCCACTTACTTGTCTACAACCTCCCAACAGCGGCCTGGGTCTGGATGCGTTGGGATACCCTCAAACATAACAACAGATGCGCCATTGAGCAAGGGTCCATATGTCAGATAGCTGTGCCCTGTGATCCACCCGCAGTCGGCAGTACACCTGTTAAGGTCAGACAGTTCATTGCACAAGTGTCAAATGTCCAAGAGTATATATAAGTTAACTTAACTTGCTCCAAAGATAACACTTTCACTGTATGAATTTCCAAGAGGGACTTGCAGTGTAATAGAGTTTTCCAAAAGTTTGAAAACTCTGTGATGGATCCAAGAGGCACTTGCAATTACTTCCAAGCGGCACTTGCTGAATACAAAAGTCTCAAGTGTCCTAAAGTGTAAGAGTTCACTTCCCAAGCTAAACTGGGTAAGGCTCCCAGGATAACCCCGGGTT